GATGATTAAATTCCTCCCAAAGCCTTCCCTTTATAAAGAGCTCACAACCTTCTAAGTAGCTACCTGCAGCTCTGATTGACTTCAATTCCAGTCAAGGAACCTTCTGGTGGCCACATGCCCCTTTGCCCTGACTTTTCAGCTTCCTTTCCAATGTTGTCTTTTCCCCATTAGATTATAAACTCGTGAGGGCAGAAATTGTCTTTCTTTTCCTTATCTATAGGCCCAGTGCTTAGCACAGTGCCTGACATATAGTAAGCACTTAATAATGTTTATTGAATTGAATTGGAGACAGTGTACAAATAGCTATAGAAAAAAACAAGATTTATATACAGAATAAATTGGAGATAACCTCAGAGGAAAGCACTAGCCTTAAGAAGGATTAGGGAAAACTTCACTCAGAAAGTGGGATTTTGGCTAAAACTTGAAAGAAGTTAGGGAAACTGGGAGACAGAGTGAATTCCAGGCATTGGATACACCAATAAAAATGCTCAGAATCTGAGGATGGGGTGTTTTATGCTAGGAAAAGCAAAGAGAACAATGTCTCTATGTCACAGAATGTAGAGAAGGAACTAAGGTATAAACATAGTGGAAAGGTAGGATTATCTTAAATGTTGTATTAGTTTATCTATTTTTATTACACAATCTTCAGGAATGTGGATAATGTTTATTACTTATACCCTCATCCAAATGGCCTTAAAGTAAAAGAAACAGAGTAAAAACTTAACTTATTTTTACTTGTTAGAAGCTTTGGTCAAATAATTTTGATAAAAAGGAGATTATAGGAAAAGTTTAAAATACAGATGCAATGAGATTTGGAAATGATCTCTAAAACATATTTATAAGTAGTAGCTTTATCTACTCATTTATCCTGGATTTTTGTTGTTGTTAAGTCATTTCAGTTGTGTCTGATTCTTCATGATCCCATTTGGGGTTTTCTTGACAAGGATATTGGAGTGGTTTCCATTTCCTCATACAGATAACTTTTCAGTTAGGGAAATTAAGACAAATTGGGTTAAATGATTTGCTCTAGGTCACAGAGCTAGAAAGTATCTGAGGCAACATTTGAATTCAGGAAGATGAGTCTTCTTGACTCCAGTCCCAGCACTCTATCTATTGCACTTACCTAGCTGCCCTTACCAAGGATAAACAAGCTTTAATGATGCCCACAAATTAGAAAAGCTTAACTCTATGAAATTAAAACTGGAAGCTCACAGCCTTAAATGGAAAGTGAAACTAAAACAGCCACACAATTTCAGATTTAAAAAGGACCCCGATAGCAGTCTAGTCCAATACATACCTGAAAAAGAATCATTACTACAACATACCCAGTAAATGATTATTATGAAGGTCACTGATGAAGGTGAACCTACTAACTCTTAAGATAGCTCATTCCAGATAGAGCACCGGCCCTGAAGTCAGGAGTACCTGAGTTCAAATCCAGCCTCAGACTAAACACTTGACATACTTACTAGCTGTGTGACCCTGGGCAAGTCACTTAACCCCAATTGCCTAAAAAAAAAAATAGCTCATTCCACCTTTGGATAGCCCTAAATGTTAGAAAGTTCCATCTAACATTAAGCCTAAATCTGCTTCTTTACAACTTCCACTCATTAATACTGATTCTTCCTTATGATGATAAAAAGAACAAGTCTAATCCCTCTTGAAGCTATCCATCATGTACCTCATGAGACTTCTCAGTGCTACACTTTCTCTTATGACATGGACTCAAAGTTCTTCATCATCCTTCAACATCCTCCTCCATACAATAATGAGTTTATCAATATCTTTCCTAAACTGTTGCAATCAAAACTGCACAGACATGTTATGGTTATCTCTGAAATCTATGCCTCTCTTAATGAAGCCCAAAGTCACATTAGCTTTTGTGGCTAGCATATCAAATGAAGGACACATAATACTGAATTTGCAGTCCATCGAAATATCCCAGATATTTTTCAAACAAATTGCTGTCAAAACTTGCATTTGTATTTGTATTTGTAAAGTTCATTATTTGAAACCAAGTGTAAGACTTCACATTTAGCTGTATTAAAGTTAAACTTGAGAGGCAATATAATGGATAGATAGTTTCAAGAGACAACAAAAGACTTGAGTTCAAGTCCTACATCTAGTACACACTGGTTATGGAATCTTGGGCAAGAGTACTTCTGGCAAGACTAGAAGTTGTGCAGAGCAAGTGTCAATATGTATTGATAAAATGAGTTTTACCATTCTATGTTCTCTACACCAATGAAATCACATGTTTGGTCAAAATTTGATCTTGACTTATCCCAGAGTTTTATCTTTCCAATATATTTTCATATCCTGACAGCCATCTAGTATTAGCTATCTCTCCCAGCTCTTTGTCATTAGCAGATTTGATAAGGATGTCATCTATTCCTTTATTTAAGTCAATGTTATAAAAGTGTTAACCTGCACAGAAACAAGTTCAGATCCTTAGAGATAGAGTCCACTGGAAACTTTTCAAGTTGACATCAAACTATTGTGAAATACCCTTCAAGTCTGACCATTCAAGCAGTTATAAACCAATTAAACTGTACTATTGTCTAGTCCATTGGTTTCTCAAAGTATAGTCTAGGGATCCTAGGTGAAGGTCCTGAGACACTTTCAGGGACTCTGTAAGGTTAAAAAAAACAACAACAACACATATCTTCACAATAATACTAAGATGTTTTAATTTCTAATATGATAAATATCAATAGATAAACCCACATAAAAAAACCTCTTTAGGGCCCTCAGTAATTTTTAAGAGTATAAAGGGGTCCTGAGACCAAAAAGATTGAGAACCACTGGCCTAACCAATATTTCTCCATTTTTTCCACATAAACAATAAGAGATACTTTGTCAGCTGTTTTTCTAAAACCTAGGTGAACTATATATACAGCACTCCTCTAATCTAATAACTTAGTGACTGTTTCCCAAAAAAAGGGGAATAAAGTTAGTTTTGAATGACTAGTTCTTAATGAAGCTATGCTGACTAATTGTGAAAACCACTTCTTTATCCATATGGTCACTAACCATATGTTTAATAATCCGTTTTAGAATTCTACCAAGAATTAACGTCAAAAATTAGTGCTGTATGCATTAAAGGAAAATTTTCCCTCTAAAAAAATCAAGACATTTCCACCTTTCCAACAAATAAAAAAATATATTTACTTTAGCATAAATTTTTTAGAAATTAAAAATATCTCATTTTAAAATAAGAAAAACAACCTGTTTTCATTAAAATTAATTTTAAAATTGTACAATGAGGAATATTAAGTGAAATAACAGTTGTACCAGTATATTTAAATTTAATTAGTAGGGTAAAAGGTAGTATTTTAAATCAATCATCTTCATTAAAATTAGATGTCTCATAGTGTCCAAAGTTACTGATATTATATTTGAGAAAAAATTATTATTTCTTCTCCCAAATTATAACTAAAATAAATTTGTTTGTCTCCTCACTGCTGAAATCTTATACATATTACAATTATTATCTGTCCACTAAAGTTGCTTTAAAATTTTCACATTTTTTTGTCAGTATAAACTATGATCTTCTTCTGGTCTGTACATTAACTTCTTATAATATCATGAATACTTTGGTCCCAGTTTTTTTTATTATCCTCATATATCTGTTCTCTATCTTAATATCTTTGACCCATCAAGTACATCTTAATTCAATAATTTTATTCCCAATCATATTATTCTCACTGCATTCCTATATGCCATTCCAGCTTCAGAGTGGTCATAGTGTCTAGTCTCAACTACATGTAAATATCATAATAACTTAAGTGAAGAGAAAATATACAATTTAATTGTCATTTAATATTCATTGACAAATTTAAATTTTACAATCATTAACACTAAACACATAGAAAGCACGTTTCTTTAATAAATATTTAAATATAATGTCACCCTTGGAAAAAGGTTAATGTTTCTTAAGTCATCATTTTTCTAAAAGATACTAACAAAGTCATAAACTGTGTCCATAGGTTATTATTTACATAGTCTCAGGAAATATAAAGTATTAAGAATTTTAGGTGGCTTTTCAGGTTCATGAATTACAATTTTCAGAGGTTTTTTTCCTACTACATGGGAAACAAGTAATGATTCTCTAGACTAAATGTCATCATAACAAATACTAATACCAAGACTCTCAAACTAAAATTTGCATGGAAATATAAATTTTACAAAGATTAATCATCTACTGAATATTCAAAATAAAATTATTCTTTCCATTGTTTAGAATTAGAGTTAATTCAATTCTTCATCTTGATAGCAGTTTCTGGTTATTCAAAGGAAATTAAAATTTGTGTATTAATTCAGTGACTTCAAGTTTTACAAATAGCACAGTTATAATAATAATTTACTTTCATTAATTAAATTTCCTTGCATAGACTCTAAGATGACCTTACCTTAAATGAAGACATGTACTATCACATAGCACAAGTTACTATAATGAATACATTAAGATAGCCTTATAATTTAACTTTTTTAACCAACTTTAACACAATTAGTAACTGTCTAGTACCAAATTTAATATAATTGCCTTTTGGAAAATATCTCATTTTTCCCTCTGTTACACACACAAAGCCAACTTTTATTTCCCTTGGTCAATGAAATAAATTTAAGAGGAAAAAAAGGAACTTTTTTTTTCCAATCCATTTTAGGCCACATTTAGGAAAGAAAATTCAAAATTTAGAGGAAAAATACTGACTTTAACTTTTAATAGAGGCATACTACTTGGGATATAGTATGATATTTTTGCAACACATATATAATGTTATGATTATTTCAATCTCTTTATAGCTATAAAATATTATATTATTTTGGCATATTTTATAATGTTATAATTTAGCTATTTTCATTATGATAATTCAGTAATAAAGCAAACAATTAAAGAACTTAAGCCTACACATTTTGAAACCTCATTTACACAAAATATCATTTTTTAAAAATGCTACCACTTAGTTTTATATATTTCTACTATATAAATGAAATACCTTTCAGGACTGTGGAGAATGTCATCAAAATATGTATTAGTCTCTCTTCTCTCCTGCCTATTCCTCCTAAATATGAAATAAATAGTATAAATTTAGGCATATATTCTACTCTAATTATACTATAATTTCATAGTATACCAGAAAGTAATTATGTTGGATAATTTCTTGTATAGTCATATGAAATATAAGGTATTTTCCCACATATAAAGATGTGGCAGAGCTTAAATCCCTTTATAAACATTTCCTGTAACTAGAATTCATTCATTCATCATTCAATAATATACAAAGGATCTTGTCATTCTATTAAAGCTACTTGAATATAACTTGATTAAAAAACTGTAGTCTGAAAGCTTATGAAAGTAAATATTTTCCTAGGTTAAACAATAAACTTATATTAACATACCTATAGTATCATAACTTTGCTTGTAACACAAGAATATATACTAAATACTATCTATCTATCTATCTATCTATCTATCTATCTATCTATCTATCTAAAATTCTCTATTATAAAGTTGTTTCAATATGCCATAGATACATGAAGAGTCAGTATACCATAATGGGTTGATAGCCCTCTGCCTCAGAGTCAGGAATAACTGCTGTATAACCCTGAGTAAGACATTTTATTTTTTAGTTTTCTGAGAAATTCTGTAAGACCATGTCACAGAGAAAGTATAGAGGGAGTATTCTCTTCCAGGCATTCCCTATGTCAATTAAGTGGTACGCTTAGTCCCTATGATTATCATCTGTAAAACATAGTTTCGAATACAAACGAAAGTGATGAAACAAATTAGTAAAAAAAAATGTAGTGAGATATTCTAATACACCCAATATGACAATCACATGAATCCCAGAGGGATTCTATATCACCTATCACTTCTGTGATAGTTTATTTAAACATTGGTTACAGCAGCATCAATGATCTGTCAATTAAGAAAAATATATTAAGTACCTGCTGTGTTTATAACATCTTTATTAGGCACTGGGGAAATTACAAAGTTAAAATAAGACAAGTTCCTTAATCTCAAATAGTTTACAATCTAATATTATTGTCATGCAACAGCCTCAAAAAGTATAAAGTTTAATATAAAGTCTTATAGATAAGTATAGATAGCTATAACACAACACGACAACTATACTGGAATTATGGAGCTAAATGTTATATGAAGTCTGAAGGGTTAATAATTATTAGAAGTGACAATCTTAGAAGAATTCTGAGTGGAGGTAATATGTGAGTTGGGTTTAAAAGAATGGTTAGGAGTTCAACAAAATAAAATAAGGATGAAAGATACTCCACACATACATGAGGAATAATACAAGCAAAGACACAGAGGCTAGAGAATACAGTGCATAAGGAGAAAGAGCTATCCAGTCTGCTAGGATCATATAGAATGAGGACAGCAATAATGAGATAAGGCTGAAAAGACAGTGTCAGTTTATGTTGCCTTCAAATGAGGGGCAAAAGAGTTTGAATTGTACTTAAAAGGCAACAGGGTGCCACTGAAGAGGTGTGAGCAAAGAAATGGCATGATCAGGTCTTCATATAAGAAAGATTATCGTGGAAGTTATTATGGTAATCAAAGGTTGTTTTAAGGTGGAAAGTAAAGTTTGGATGGTATTTAAAAAGACTCTTACAATAGTCAATGTAGGTAGTAATGAGAGCCTAAATTAAAGTAGCAGAAGGAAGACTAGAGAAAAGGGCATGGATTCAAGAAATGAAGTCAAAAGTATATTTTTACCAATTACATCTCAGAGGTAAAAGAGAAGGAAGACTATAAAAGAATCCTAAGGTCATGAACAATTTGAACACCATGGGAATTCTAGTGCTGAAGACAGAAAGAATAAAATCAAAAGGAATAGATTTGGGGCAGGGAGGAGGTGAGGGATAATGGACAAATTGAGTCTGAAATTCCAGTGTGACGTTCAGAAACAGTCCTGGAGCTCATATATGTTGCGACTAGAAATATAGAATTAGAAGTCATTTTCATAAAAGTTATATTTATTGCCTTGAGAGTAAATAATATTACCACGGAAGAGAGTATATATAGAGAGAAGACAATAGGGCTAGATCCTGAGGGTACACTTACATTTTAGGAAGAGATTCTTAACCTTAGGTCCATGAATTTTTAAACAAATATTTTGATAACTGTATTTCAATACAATTGTTTTTATGCACTTAATTTATGCATTTAAATGCATTATACTGAGAAGGGATCCATAGGCTTTATCAGATTGCCAAATGCATCTTTGACACGCAAAAAAGTTAAGAACCCCTGTGACAGGAAGAAGGAGAGGATAAGGAGCAAGTAAAGGACACAGAGAAGATGTAATTAGAACGATAGGAAGAATGTCAGTAAAATGTGGTGTCTCTGATATCAAGGGAAGAAAAATTGTGAATGGGTAATAAGTAATATCAGAAGGTGTAAAGAGGTTTTAAAAAAAAAAGAAAAAAAGGAGGAATGAAAAATGGCCACTGGATTTGATGACTAGTAGTTCATTGGCCAAATGGAAGTATTAGCATCATTATCTGGATGTTGCCATATTTATATCATCTATATCCCCCTGAGGATAACTTCACCCTGAGGATAGCATAATTACTAGACAGCCCTTTCCCTGAATTGTCATATCACCACAATTCCCATTCACACTGTTCATTTCTTTGTTGGCTCAATATCTGGTCTGCTTCACCCTCTCCCAACTTTTCACTTCCCCTTTATGTGCTGTTTTCCCCCATTGCAATGTAAGCTCCTTGAGAATAGACACCATCTTGTTTTCTTGTCTTTATATCTCCAGGGCTTAGAATACTGACCAGAACATAAGGGCTTAATATTTATATATTATCTATTTATACATTAATCTTTCTGTGTATCATTGATCTTTTCTCACCTCAGCTCCCAATCACCACACACTGATATATACCATGTTTTATCTATCTATCTATCTATCTATCTATCTATCTATCTATCTATCTATCTATCTATCTCCAGGGCTCCTATTCAAGGCTTCCAAATTAAGGGAATGCTACTAGCAACCTCATAATTACAACAAGAATGGATAACACAACCTGGAAAATTCTACCCTCTCGCCATTCTTAGCACCCACCAAAACCTATCATATTATTTTCATACTTTGCTCATAACTACAGTAACCCCTCAGTTCATTACCATTGAAGACAAACACCCAGCATGGCAATAGCAATTCTGTGACTGGGCAAAGGAAAAAGGGTATTTAACTTAGAAAGATAAGAAATTTACTCTAATGATAATTTTAACTATTTTGTGAATATAAGCTAACTCATAAGATACAAGATAAGTTATTTACATAGCACTTTATAGTATATTAAGAATTTTCCTTACAACATTTCTATGAGCTAGACAGTACAAGTATTATCCCTTCCTCCCACCTCTTACAGAAATGAGTAAACAGGCTGAAAGAAACTGAGAGACTTGGGCAGTCACAAAATTAGTAAATGTCAAAACCAGTATATAGATTCAGATCTCCTGACTCTACTCTAGCACTCTTTCTTTACAACAAACTGTCTTTAGATACAAAAAGAAAAATGGAAAGCCTATTGTAACATGATCTGTATTAAAATAAGCACAGTAAATACTTCAAATTGGTTTTTCTCCTTTGTTTATACTGTTTCCTTCATCTAGAATACCATTACAATATAACTTTGCCTCTTAGATACCTATGCATCTTTCAAGCCCACATAGCTCAAAAATAGTCTCTTTCCCTGATGCCTCCAATTAACAGTTACAACTCCTTCTTCTGAGCTAATAATACTTCAGATAAGGGTTGGGGGCCAAGAATAGCTGGGTTCAAATGCAGCCTCAATTGTTTACTAGCTATGTGATCTTTGGCAAGTCATTTAACCTTTATTTGTCTAAGTTTTTTCAATTGTAAAATAGGGATGATAATAGCACCTAACCACTAGGGTTGTTGTGAGGATGAAATAAGATAGTATTTGTAAAGTGCTTAGCACCGTATCTGGCACAGTGTACATACAATATTAATGTTTAGCTATCATCATCATTATTATTACCTCTCCTATTACCATTAATATTATATTATACTGATATGAATACCTATCTTAACTCTCCTACTTGACTATAGCTCCACAAAAAAAAGGACCATGTTCCTTTTATCACCATATTTTCCTCCACACAATCTACTGCCTTGCACATATGAAGAGATAAGTAATTTTTTTTAACAAATGGATAATTTAGGATATTTAACATTCCAAAAGATCATTATTGAGCTCTCACTAAGTCATAGGTTACATCAAGTTTTCCTAAACTAATCTGGGAAAGGAACATTTTCTAGCTTTGAATATGATGAAATGTATAAGGGAAGGGAACAAGTATTTACTAAGTCCTACCATGTGCCAAGTCCTGTGCTAAATATTACCACATTTGATACTCACAACAATCCTATGATGTAGGGACTTTTATTATCCCATTTTACAATTAAGGAAACTGAGGCAAACAGAGGTTGTGACTTGTACAATATAAATGATGATGAATACTCTGGGAAAAGGGGAAACATCTGTAACAAAATATGTAACATGGAATTGTGCAAATACAGAAAGGTGGGAGAACAATCAGGAAGATATTGCAAAAGCCAGGTAAGAGGTAATGAGAGACTAATCTAGGATAGAGTATGTATGATTAGAGAAAGGGGGATAGATATGAAAGATATTGTAGGGCCATGTCACACTGGCTCTTTTAGTATACTTTCATATCAAAAAAGAATATTCGCTCATAATAAGTATTTCAAATGCATACACAATTTAGTATATATTTAAATTTTTCTATATTTATTATACTGAACTTGATAAAACATCATAGTCATTCCATAAAAAGGAGCTTCTTTGGGTCCTTTCTTATTATGGGCAGAAAAAGAGGGAGGGGAATTAATTGTTCTTTGAATACTTGATAGGATTCACTTGTATTTTGTTGTTGTTGTTGTTGTTATTAGGAATTCTTTCTTGGCTTGTTCACTTTGTTTTTCTGTTATGGGTTTATTTAAAATTTCTACTTCTTATTGTGTTAATTTAGGTATTT